GAGGCGCCCGAACTGCCCAAGAACGCCCCGAGGGGGCGCCCAAGACGGGGACGAGGAGCTGGAGATGCGCGCCTTTTGGCCCAAGAGGCACCCAGGAGACCCCAAGAGGCTCCAAGAAGCGCCCAAGAAGCACCAAGAGGCGCCCAAGAGACCCCAAAAAAGCACCCAAAGAGGCCCCGAAACAGTCCCCAATGGGCCCCCCAAAGCGGCCCCAAGAGAGCCCCAGGGTGCGCTCCAAGAGGGTCGACCAGGGTCCGTCCCTCGCGGTGCCTCAAGCAGGCGTTGCCACGGGAGTCCCCCCTTGCGGAATGTTCTGGGTCAGCCGTTCGACCTGTTGCAGTCTGGCTAGCAAAGGAGGAGGAGGAGGAGGAGGAGGAGGAGGAGGAGGAGGAGGAGGAGGAGTGAGGAGGAGGATGGGGAGGAGGAAGAGGAGGAGGAGGAGGAGGAGGAGGAAGGAGGAGGAGGAGGAGGAGAGGAGGAGGAGGAGGAGGAAGGAGGAGGGGAGGGGGAGGAGGAGGAGGAGGAGGAGGAGGAGATGAGAAGAGGAAGAGGAAGAGGAAGAAGAAGAAGAAGAAGAAGAAGAAGAGGAGGAGGAGGAGGAGGAGGAGGAAGGAGGAGGACAATCCGACATTCAGGCGCTGCCCGGGTCTGAGGTTGAACCTGAGCGCGCGCGAAGCGCGCGCGTTGGTTCTCATACATATATATATATATATATATATATATATATATATATACACATGTATAAAAATGGGTACGGTGTCCCAGGCCCTCCGAAGTGCACTGATGTATCTTCCGGCCGTTTCGGGCCCGGCGGGGGGCGCAAAAAAACGTCAAGGTGGCCGAGAGACGTCCAAGAGAGCGCCCAAGATGGCCCAAAAGCGCTCCAAGAGAGCCCAAGACCGCACAAAAGCGTTTCAAAATTGGTCCACCATGGCTTGAAGACAGCCAAAGAGGGCTTCAAGACGGCCAATATGTTCTCAACAGGACTCCCACGAGGCACTCAGGAGGCGAAACAAGTAGGTTTACCTATGGTGTTTGAAATTGTTTCGTGTTCTCGCTCGTTCGTGCTTCCGACAGTCCAAGACAGCCCACGAGGCCCCAGAAATCAGCTCAACACGACCTAAGATACACCCAAAGAGGGCGCCACGACGGCGCAAGAGAGCCCCAAGGCGGCCCACGAGCGCACGAGCGCCCCAAGACGGCCCACGAGGCGCCCAAGATCGCCCAAGAGGGCCCCAAGACGGCCCCAAGAGGGGCCCAAGAGGGGGAACACGAACCGACCATTCGAGCCTTCCGCGCCCAGAGGCTACCAGGAGGCCCCAAGAGGCCCCCAACAGAGCCCTAGAGGCCCCAGGGCCCACGAGGCCCCAAAGGGGTCAAAAAGACGCCCCACGAGCACCCCAAACGGCCCCCAAGAGGCCTCCCAAATTGCCTTCAAGTGGCCCCCGGGAAGCCTCCCACGAATCCCAAACGAACTTCCAAGGGGCCTCTAACCCACAACCCAGGCACGGTGGCGGGATGGGCCGAAGGCCAGGAGACCCCCAGGAGGGGTCAAGAGGTCCCCAAGAAGCTTGGCGACAGATCACCAGTCGACCGGTCGATGAGAGCGGATGAGGAGGCATGAGGAAGAGGCGGGAGGAAACAGAGAATGTTGACTTCATTACTAATGACCGCCTTGTTGTCTCAATGCGGTCAGCACTCGACCAGCTAGAACCTAAGTGCGCGCGAAGCGCGCGCGATGGTATGTATGTATGTATATATATATACACACACGTATATACATAATGTATACGCCGCCCCCCCATGCAGGCCCCGACCCCCACCTCCGGGACATCTCCGGACGATGCACGGTACCGCCCTCCAAGGGCTCCCGGCACGCCGCAGTAAGGCCTCGGGACGGCCCAGGACGCCCCCAAGAGCCCAAGAGTGCCCCAAGCGGCCCAAGACGGCTCTCCAGGCGCCCCCAAGACAGTCCGGCTTTCCGTCGGCCCTCGAGGCCGCCCACAGCGCCCAATGGTGTGCCCCGTGGCTCACAAGAGACACCCCATACCGCCCAAGATACGCCCAAGGAAGCTTTCGAGAGGCCCCAATTTTCCGAACAACAACAAGGAACATCTATGATTGCGCAGGATCCCCAAGAAGGCCCCCGAGAGGCGCCCCAGGCGGCCCGAAGGGGGCCCCAGGCGCACCGACGAGGGCCCGAGGAGGCTCCTAAGTCAGCGAGCGAAGAACGGTATAAGATAAACTTTTTCGCCGTCGGGGACACCTGCCCCTGGGCGGCTGGAAAGTCTGTACCCCTACGGTGCCACCGTAGGGGTATGATTTTTTCCAGCCGCCCAGGGGCAGGTGCCCCCGACGGCGAAAAAGTTTACCTCATACCGCTCCTCGCCTGTCAGCCAAGACGCCCCGACGACCGCGCATGATCCCCAAGAAGGCCCCCGAGAGGCGCCCCAAGCGGCCCGAAGGGGGCCCCAGGCGCACCGACGAGGGCCCGAGGAGGCTCCCAAGACGCCCCGACGACCGCGCAGGAGGCCTCCCGAGAGCCCACGGGAGGCGCCAGTCGGTCGGGGGGACAGCCGCTCGGCCCCCGCGGGCGCCCACACGGCGCGCCGCCGGGCGGGGCGTGCCGGGAGGCCCCGCCCCCCGCCGCGCGCCTCCTCCTCCTCCCTGCTCCTCTCGCGCCCTCCTCCTCCTCCTCCCCTCTTCCCTCCTCCTCCCCTCCGCCCCCTCCTCCTCCCCCTCCTCCTCCTCCTCCTCCTCCTCCTCTCCTCCTCCTCCTCCTCCTCCTCCTCCTCCTCCTCCCCTCCTACCCCTCCTCCTCATCCTCCTCCCCCTCCTCCTTCCTCCTCCCTCCTCCTCCTCCTCATCTCCTCCTCCTCCTCCTCCCCGCTCCTTCCCTCCTCCTCCCCCCCCCCTCCGCCGCCTCCGCTCCTCCTTCCCTCCTCCTCCTCCTCCCCCTCCTCCTCCTGCTCCTTCTCGGGGTCGGCCACGCGCGCAGGGCTGCGCGGGGGCTGCCCCAGAGGCCCAAAGACGACCCAAAGGAGGGCCCCCCAAGAAGCCTTCGAAACGCCAAAACAAAACTTCCCCATGGCGTCGGCATGCTTTGGGGAGTGCTCTGCTCGTCGGTCTTCCGGGCGTCCGAGACCGCCCAGGAGGCCAGAGAATCGCCTCAAGTTCAACCAAGAGGGCATCCAGGCAGCGCAAGAGGAGCCCCAAGACAGCCCCCAACATGGCCCCAAGATGACCCGAAGATCGCCCCATGATGGCCCAAGATCACCCCACGATGACCCCCGAATCATTCCAAATCGTGACCTGGTCGTTCAGGGAGACCGGGGTTGGAAGCAGGGTGGCCCAGGGAGTCCCCCGGAGGCCCCCAGAAGGAACTCAAGAAGCTTCCAGAAGGCCTCAACAAGCCCTTAACAAGTTTCGTGAGGCCCCTGAGAGGCTCCTAGGATGAGCCTCCACAAACATAGCTGAGGATGGGGACGAATTCTCAGGGTAGGGCGAGAATTAGGAAGAGGAAGAGGAAGAGGAAGCAAGAGGGAATTATGACGAAAAACATTATCACAACGGCGATGCCGAAAAGGCAACAACGATGTATCGCTAAATGTTCCGTTTTACCTTATTGCCCTATTGTTTGCATGCCAAGCCGCAAGGACCAACGTGCATGGCGCGAAGCCCCAACGCAATATTGCACAGTTGTCTATGTTGTTGTTGCTGTTGTTGTCTATGTTGTTGCAGATGTTGTTGATGTTGATGTGGTTGTTATTTTTGTGGTGGTGATGGTGGTTGTTGTTGTTGTTGTTGTTGTTGTTGAACTCTCATGTCTGAATAATAATTATTGCTGATCCCCTTCACGGGATGTTTCTGGGGCGCTTATGCGAGCGCGCTATGTGAGGACCGTGCGCAAGTACCACTACGTGAAAGCACTCAGTAAATCGCTAGGGGGTGTGGAATGAACACTTGTTGAGTTCACGACGTCGGTGCGCAATGTAGAACCTGACGTAAAACACGACGTAACAATACTACGTAAAACCATTACTTGCGTACATCATTCTCTTAGGTGGAATCGGCACTACGCAGCTCACAGCGTCAATGAATGCCATACGTAAAACATCACGTGGACACAGCACGTGCAATCTCTACGTACATTCATTACGCTCCTGGGATGCGCCTGGGATGCTTCCGGGGCGCTACTGCGAACGCGCTACGTGAAGACGCTACACCAATACTCTTACGTGAATCGACTGCGTAAGTGGCCAGGGGGGGTAGATAGACACCACGTGAGTTCACTACGTCAATGCACTACGTAAAACACAGTAAAGCAAAACTATGTCAATCCACTGCGTGCGTACACTACGCGTCTGGGATGCTTCTAGGATCCGCCTGGGCTGCTCCTGGGACCTGGGACTCTGCTGCGAGCGCGCTACGTGAGGGGACTGCGGAAATACAAGGCATGACGACAAAACGTAAATCGTACGGGGGTGGAAACATCATTACGTCAGTTCGCTACGTCAATGCATTTCGTAAGACATTGCGTAACAAACACGGCGGGGAAACACTGCGTACGTGTTTTACGTAAAAAAGACGGTGAACCAACCTTACGTACACGCAGCACGTAAAGTTCTACGCACATGCATTGCCTACGTACAATACGGGGGATACGTTTGGTAATTGCAGCAATACGTGGGTGCATGACCTAAGTCGTTTGAGCGACTAGGCTACGTAATCACATACGCTACGTGAGAACACGACGTTGAAGCCACTACGAACGAGCACTACATGAAATCATGTGCGGGTTCACAACGTGAAATCAGCCACACCTACGTAGCACACAAGGCTATGCACATACAGTGCGTTGTTAGCACCACCACTACGTATGCTGTCTACGCAATTTTTGACACACTACGCAAAAGCAGTACGTTGACTATCTATGTAGCGTTTATCGCCTAGTGTGTTTTTGTAGTGTCCAGTTCACCATTCGGACCAAATCTCCATGTCAGCTGTAGGTGTACTCGTGCTCGTCGCGAGTTCTCTCTTATTTGTTTTATTTACCCGTGGATTGCACATGATGCCGAATTGCAGGCTCCATCCATTGCATCATTTGGTCCCGGAGCCGTTCATGCGATACTGTACTTGCATGTCTTGTCAGGGACTTCCCCCCCCACGCCCCCGAGGTTATTATCAGTTCATGGTGTTGATCCTATGTTTCTATTTCCTACCTATATGGCAGGGCTTACTATCGCGAGGTTGGGGTTATCTGCAATTTGCTGCGATGTTTACACCATGAACCCGCACCATCGACTCTTCCATCATCCGTGATCCCCCCTCCCTCCTTCCCCCTCCGCAACCCTGCTGGCAGAAGCAATTTGGCTGGAGTCACCGCTTCAACAAGCGTCTTGATTGCCAGTCGCATTGCCTATACATCATGGCAAAACTCAGTGCGATCCAGAGGGTCGTGGAAGCATATCTCATCAGCGTCGCACCAAGCACGCCGGCATTTGGCTTCTTGACCCTAGTGCCGTGGAGCTCGCAGGAGAAGCCGGCCAACGTGTTGGCATATGGGGCAGGTTGTGGAGAGTTGATGTTGGAAAGCATCGCCCAGATAGTGGAGCAGCACGAGGTCGTGTTGATCGTATCCGTATACAGGACGAAGAATGAGAAAAGAAGCGTGGTATGCCTTTTGGACTATCTTAGGGTGACGCATCCCGACGCGGTCGTCTTCCTGGTGCAGCTTCCAGATCGGTTGGACCCTGAGCTGACTAAGGCCTACCTTAGTACATTGATGGTGCGGCATGACGAGCTCTCCACCTTCGGGGCGGATGGCGTGCTGATGGAGCTGGCGGGTGACCCTGGGGGGCTGCACCAAAGGTTAAGTTTGGAGCTGCAAGAGAACGCCGCCATCCAGCTGCGCGTGCAGGCACATAGAAGCACTGATCCATGGACTGCCATCTGCCATGCAGATCAAAGGCATGGAGGACGAGTTCCGCAGTTTGCTCTGGGATGCCATCCCAGATCTGCTGATGCCCGATTTCGCGCCTCTGGACGACCGTCTCCTGGAATGTGGGAATCGGGTTGGGGATTTCCAGCTCGTGCGCCCATACCCAGATCACCAGCACGTGTCGTTGGCGGTGAACGGGCAGCATGAAAACGTAGTGATCAAAGTGTGCGACAAGCGCAGCGTCACCAATGTCAAGGAGGTGGAGAGCATATACCAGGAATTTTGTTTCTTGACGCACACCCTCGACCACCCACACATCATCCGTTGCTTAGGCATGTTGCACAGTCAGTGTAGTGTGCATTTGGTTCTCCAGTATGGTGGAGACATGTGCATGGAGCAGGTGTTGTCGGCTCAATCTGGGTACCGCTTGTTCAGGGACGACGCCTTGGATTGCAGTGCCCAGATCGCCAGTGCTCTGTCCTACTGCCACGCCCAGGACGTCGTCCATGGGCAAGTGTCTTTGAGACACGTGGCTGTACAGACAGCACTGAATCGGCACATCTGCCGCCTTGTGGATTTCAGCATGGCAGCCCACGTTCCATTTTCCAGCGCAAGGGGGGCTCTGTGCGGATCTCTGCCGTGCGTGGCTCCAGAGGCGGCGCTGAACGAGCCGTACTTGCCTAAGCCAGCTGATTGTTGGAGTCTTGGGGTGATACTCCTGGAGACCGCTTGCGGGCAGGGTTCGCTCAAGCTGTCGGTCCGGTGGCGCCGTGGCGAGTCCCTCGCATACGCCGCGCGGCAAGTACTCGAGTTTTTCTCCCATGCTAGTTGCCACACCGAGGCGATGACGAAGATGGGTAACTCAGTCGACGGCGTAACACTGGCGTGCTTGGAGGCGGTGTTGAAGCCCGAACCAGCTCGCAGAACGAGCGCTTCCGACATGGTAGGGATGTTATCTATTGGGCGCGCCGAGCAGGTCAATTTTGATTGATTCGTTGTTGGTTGCCTTTGCACTCGGGGCGCGCGTGCAGGAGTGCATGCAGCTCACATTTTGTGCGCAGGCTTCTTGCATCAAGCTTCTGCCCCTAGAGCTATTCTTAAGCGGTCCTGGAGCCCGTTGTGGGCCTTCGGACGCCGAAATGCCAAATGACCGCTCGTCGTGGTTTAGCCCCACCCTCCTACGTCCTACGTTGACTTGTTGTTTTGGGTAAAGCACGGCGGTCGCACACTCCTCCTCTGCCCGTCTCCCTCTTATTCTCCACTCCTCTCCTGCCTCTTAACTCGCTCCTTCCTGCCTGCCAGCCTGCCTCCTGCCCCGCCATCCCACGTGATCTGGCCATGCCTGGGGCGCTGCGAGCTCCCAAGCCGTCGCCACGTCCGAGGGCTGCTGGGAGGTCTAGCAAAGCGACGACTACGCAGGTTCAGGTCAGACCTCACCATCCCTCGGGGGGCTGCGATCTGCGAACTTGACACCACCTTCGAGGGCTGCTGGGGGATCCAGCACAGTGACGTCCTACGCAGATCCAGGTTAGACCTCACCATCCCTGGGGGCGCTGCGAACTGCGAAACGGTCGCCACATTTGAAGGCTGTTGGGGGGTCCAGCATAGTGATGCCCTTTGCAGACTCATATTGGACCTGACCATCCCTGGGGGCTGCGAACTGCGAAAATGTCGCCACACTCGTGGGTTCCTGGGGGGTCTCGCATTGTGACGTCCTGCGCAGATTCAGATAAGGCTTCACCTTCCATGGGGAGCGGGTCTGCGAACTGCGAAAATGTTGCCATTTTCGCGAGCTGCTTGGGGGTCCAGCATAGTGACGTCCTGGGTAGATCCAGGTTAGACCTCACCATCCCTGGGGGTGTTGCGATCTGTCGTTACTTTTGAGGGATGCTGTGATGTCCGACGCAGATTCCGATAAGACCTCACCATCTCTGCGGGCTACAAGCTGCGAAATTGTCGCCACGTTCGGTGGCTGCTGGGAGGTCCAGCGAAGTGACGTCCTTCGCAGATTCAGATTATACCTCACCATCCCTTGGGGGCTGCGAACTGCCAAGCTGTTGCCATTTTCGCAAGGGAGACCAGTGACGGGTCACCGCTGGCTCACCCGACGCGACACCAACGGGACACCGACGCGACGACGACGGTGTCCCGTCGCTATCCCGCCGGCGTCCCGTCGGTGTCCCGTTGGTGTCCCATCGGTGTCCCGTCGGTGTCACGTCGGTGTCACGTCGGTGTCCCAGTGGTGTCCCGTCGGTGTCTCGTCGATGTCCTGTTGGTGAACCGTGGTGAGATCGATCAAATGAGATTGATAATAAAGAGATCACATCGCGGTGCAACACCGTCACCACGTGTCATCGCCCACGTTCTCGTTCCTCGATCCAAACTGGAAAACCTTGGTCCACCTTCTCGAGACCATCGCCCACGTTCTCGTCACCACGCGTTTCGCAATTTTCGTCTCACGTTCCAAATTCCAGCGCAAGGGAGACCCTGTGTGGATATCTGCTGGGCGTGGCTCCATCACGACGCACATGGTTCCGATCAGAAGGGTGCTCAGAGGTTCTGCATCATCTTGTATACTTGTTGCGCCCACTGTTGCCGGGGCCGTCCGCGTCGACTATGCGCCGCCCAGTTTTTGGGTGCACCGTTTGCTTGGCACACTACTTTCCTCACCAAAGAACAACCCCCTCTTGTTTCGATTTTGCCGTAAAGCTTTATCTGCCAGTCAAGGAGAATATCAGATGACGGTCTTTCGCCACCTTTCGTCAAAACCTGCACATTGCTCACTCTCGATATGTACGAGTGCCGTGTGCCCAAGATCTTGCGTACAAAGTTGCAATGAAAAGGATCCAATCTGTTCGTGACTGCTTTGAGAAGCCATAGGGGGTCCAGTGAGTACAGAGGCTTGCTGGCAATACAACTGGAACCCATGTGAATTCTTTACGCTTCGCGTATCCCCACCAGCCCATCTCACAGCAGCAACTCTTGCGAAGCATGCCGACAGTCGTGTTTTTCAGGCGTGTGTCCGCTTGGCCCCGCATATCTCCCCTGTTCCTCCTTCCTCCCGCCTCCTTGTACATCCTCCTTGTGGGGGAGCGGGAGAAGGACGAGGCGGAGGAGGAGGGAGAGAAAGCGCTCCTCGTGATTCGAGTCGTTTGGGGTTTCTCGTCCTGGTGTGAGTCGTTCGGGCCCTTCTTCCTGGTGTGAGTCGTTCGGGCTCTTCGTGGTGTGAGTCGTTCGGGCTCTTCGTCCTGGTGTGAGTCGTTCGGGCTTCTCGTGGTGTGAGTTGTTCGGGCCCCTCATCCTGGTGTGAGTCGTTCGGGCCCCTCCTCCTGGTGTGACTCGTTCGGGCTCCTCGTGGTGTGAGTCGTTCGGGGCCCGCGTCGTGGTGTGAGTCGTTCGGGCTCCTCGTGGTGTGAGTCGTTCGGGCGCCTCGTCCTGGTGTGAGTCGTTCGGGCCCCTCCTTGTGGTGTGAGTCGTTCGGGCTCTTCGTGGTGTGAGTCGTTCGGGCCCCTCGTCCTGGTGTGAGTCGTTCGGGCTTCCTCGTGGGGCCTCGTTGGGGCCCCTTGGGGGCCTCTTGGAGCCTCTTGGCCTCTTGGGGGCCTCTTGGGGGCCTCTTGGGGGCCTCTTGGGGGCCTCTTGGGGCGTCTGGCCTCTTGGGGGCCTCTTGGGGGCCTCTTGGGGGCCTCTTGGGGCCTCTTGGGGGCCTCTTGGGGGCCTCTGGAGGCCTCTTGGGAGCCTCCTGGGGGCCTCTTGGGGCCATCTTGGGGCCTCTTGCGACCTCCTCAGAAGCGCAAAGGAGCGCTGCCCCCTGAGAAGGACAAAATGAGCCCAAAACCTTCGTAAAATCAATGATTTTGCTATGAAGGAAGATGAGCGCGGCCCCCTCAGAAGGCCAAAATGGGGCCGAAACCGTCGTAACATCAATGTTTTTGGCTTCAAAGAAGAGCAGAGGGGCCAAACTCGGCCCCCCCGTCGGGGCCAGAATCCTCGTGAGGGTAGTCGTTTTTTAGCCCTCCAAGGAGTCGAAAACGACCTCCCCGGCGACCCGCGGGACTCCCTCTCCAGGCCCAGGGGGAGGGGGTAGGGGGAGGGGTAAACCCCTCCCCGAAGGGGAAGAAGGGGGGTTGGGGGGTTGAGAACAGAGAGAGCTCTCTAAACCACTCACGCCCAAAGGGCTGGTGGGATTTGTTCTGCCTGAGCCAGCTGTTTGTTGGAGTCTTGGCGTGCTGCTCATGGAGACCGCTTGCGGGCAGAGTTCCCTCAAGTTGTCGGTCCAGTGGCGCCGTGGCGAGTCCCTCGCATGCGCGCATGCAGGAGTGCATGCAGCTCACATATTTCATTCGCAGACTTCCTGCGTCAAGTTCTGCGCCAATTGTCCTCCTCCTCCTCCTCAGCTGAATTCGTCCACGCGGCAGGCCAGCCCATTGGGGGGAGAATGCGAGTGAGAATACGGGTATGAGTATGAGTGCGGGGGCCGTGGTGCTAAGCAGCGTCTGTGGGCGGCTGCGGGTGCTCTTGCCCCCTCGTCTTGCAGGTCCTCGTCTGGCGCTGTTCGGTCCTGCCCGCGCCCTCCCGACGAAGGCAAGGAGGCCGAAGGACAGCTGTAGAGCCCCCTTCCCAGCAGTTGGATGCAGCTGGGAAGCTGGGACGCCTACCCCAGCAGTTGCGGAGGTGCGGCTCTCTGAGAACCATCAGTTGGTCAGGGCTTTGTTCTCTGCTTCATTATTTCAGGCTCGCGTAGCCGATGTGCGCAAGTGATACTCACCCCCCGCTCATCTGACTGAATGCCAGGCTGTTCCCCTCGCCCCTCCTTGAAACAAAGATCGACCCATGAGCCGTTCCTCGTGCTCGCGCCGGCCAGAACTTCGGGGCGGATCCAGTCGTGGGCGACGGACGACAGGCCCACGGGAGGACCCAACAGGGAAATAAACAGCACGAGCCTTCCTGCCCCTATCCCCCCCTCTGTCGATGATGGTGATGACGCTTCAAGAAAATCGCCGACGACCACGATGATGATGGACCGCGACAACCGACGACGACAACGGCCACGACGACACTCCGAGGTCGTCCAGAGCTGTCCGGAGGCCCTCGGAAGCCCCACCAGGTAAGAAAATGATCACCAAGTGTTTTCCTCTAACATCGATCGATCGAACCTAGATCGATCGACGACGGCGACGAGGGCGACGACTCGCCGGCGGCGTCGTCGACGGTGACGTCGACGTCAGCGCCGATCTCGACGACGACGACGCCGAATGAACGCCGACGGACGGCGAATACTACCCCAAGGTCCCCACAGGGCCCATGAGGCCCCTGTGTCCCCAGGGCCCCCCAAGAAAAAATGAAACAGATAAAAGGAAAGTACAGTTCCAACATAGGTGATCGTTTTGTTTATTCCTTGTTTTGCCGATCGGCGCGGGCCCTCGCACCCCCCGCTTTCCCCCCCCGTCCCCCCCATGGAGTAGATCTTGGCTGTTTTTGGGCGCCTCTTGCGAGCAGGTGGAGCCTCCCCCATAGGACGCACGGTCCCAAACCGTCGCACGAAGCAGAGGTCCAGGGCCAGACCCCCACCTCTCCCCCTCCCCTTCCGCCCAATATCGAAACGCCGAATATCGGGCCGGGCGAAAGGGAGGGATTGGGAAAGGGGGGGGTACGAAATTTGCTGCATGCAGCTGGTTTCGGCCTCGCCGAGGGGCCCATTCCTCGATACATAGCCGCCTCCGGCGCCGGGAGGCGCCGAGAAAATCAGCTACGTGAGCTGATTCTCAAACCCCCCCTTTGCTACCCCCCCCTTTGGCCCGACCCGAGAATAACAAAAGCAGCTCACCAGGTCGACGGCATCAGCGGTGGCGACGTCGACATCGCCGACGGCGTTGGTGCCGTGGACGTCGGCGTGGACTCCGACAGCCACGGCGCCGCCGACGGCGGGCAGACGGACCGCGGTCCCCAAGGTCCGCGCCTGCCCCGTGAGGGCCCTTGGAGGTCACCACATGCCCGAGAGGAGGATGAGGAGGAGGAGGAGGAGGAGGAGGAGGAGGAGCAGGAAGAGGAAGAGGAGGAGGAGGAGGACGAGGAGGAGGAAGGATGGGGCAACTTTCCAAGGCTACCCTCGCGTCCTTGCCCCTGCGGTATGCGGCATCCTTCGGCACGCTGCTGCGCTCCGCACGGAAAACGTCTCAGCACGGCGTTCCAAGGCCCTTGCATCCCTGCCGCGCATCCTTACTGTATTGGTTGACTGCACCTCTTCGAGATCCGATCGGACCGACGACGATAGCGACAACATCGAACGACGACGACGGACGCCGTCGACGACGAGCGACGCACGTCGACGACGCCGAACCGTTGCGTCGAGCGATGTCGACGTTAATGACATGGTCAGCGACGACGTCCACGACGACGTCGAACGACGACGACAGACTTCCTCGACGACGAGCGACGGACGTCGTAGTCGAAAACCGCCGACGACGACGTTGAGCGACGAAGACAGACCTCGTCGACGACGAGCGACGGACATCGTCGTCGAAAGAAGTCGACGACGACGTCGAACGACCACGACGAACGTCTTTGACGACGAAGGACGGACGTCGACGACGACGTCGTCGAACGACGACGACGTCAACGACGACGTCAGCGACGACGTCGACGACGACGTCGAACGACGAAGACGGACGTCATCGACGGCGAGCGAGGGACGTCGTCGTCAAGAACGTCGACGACGACGAACACGACAAGCGACGGACCCCGTCGACGACGTCAGCGACGACGCCGCCGCCGCCGTCGTCGACGACGTCGAGCGACGACAGCGGACGTCGCCGACGACGGGCGACGAACGTCGTCGCCGAACGACGTCGACGACGACGTCCGACGACGGCGACGACGACCACCGCGGGCCACCTCGGCCCGCCCAGGCCCTGCACGCCTCGCACGCCGCGCAGCAGGCGGCGCAGGCACGCCCCCCCGCCGCGCCCCCCCTGGTGGCCGACGGTGTGACGACGCCGACGAAGGCCCTCCTCCTCCTCCCCCTCCTCCTCCTCCTCCTCCTCCTCGGCTCCTCCTCCTCCCCCTCCTCCTCTCCATCCGCCGTCATCCTGCCTCCTCCTCCTCCTCCTCCTCTCCCCCGCCGCCCTCCTCCCCCTCCTCTCCTCCGCCTCCACCTCACACTCCTCCTCCTCCTCACTCCCCTCCTCCTCCTCCTCCTCCTCCTCCTCCTCCGCCTCCCTCCTCCCCCTCCCCACCTCCTGCTGCTGCTCCTGCTCCTGCCTCCCCCTCTGTCTCTCTGCTCGTCCGTCCTCCTCCTCCTCCTCCTCCTCCTCCTCCTCCGCCCCCGACGGCTAATCGACTTCCACAAGTGCAGTCGCTCAGGGCGCGGCAGCTTCTGCGCCGGCGCGCACTGGCCGCGCGCCAGAGCGGCCCGAGGCTCTCAAGCGTGCCCCGCGGTGCTGCGCGGCCTGCTGGGCGTGGCGTGCGGTGGGGCCCCCCGGGCGCGGGCCCCCCGCAGGCAGGCCCCGCCCGCGGCGCGACGACGCCGACGGCGGCGGCCTGCAGGCGGGGGGGCCTCGACGGCGACCCCCGCCGAGGCTCGGCGCCACTCGTCGCCGTCGCTGTCTGTCGTCGTTCGTCGTCGTCGCTGTCTGTCGTCGTCGTCGTCGTCGTCGTCGTCGTCGTCGTCGTCGTCGTCGTCGTCGTCGTCGTCGTCGTCGTCGTCGTCGTCGTCCGACAACGAGGGCCGTTTTGTTATGCCGCCGCCGCCATCGTCGTCGTCGTTTTCGTCGTCTGTCGTCGTCGTTTGTCGTCGTCTGTCGTCGTCGTCGTCCGTCGTCGTCTGTCGTCTGTCGTCGTCGTCGTCTGTAGTCGTCGTCTGTCGTCGTCTGTCGTCGCCGTCTGTCGTCGCTCACGACGGCGGGGACGGCGACGGGCACGGCGACGGCGACGGGCACGACGAGGGGGACCCACGACGGCCACCCCTCCTCTCCACCTCCTCCTCCTCCTCCTCCTCCTCCTCCTCCTCCTCCTCTCTCCTCCTCCTCCTCTCCTCCTCCCCTCCTCCTCCTCCTCCTCCTCCTCGCTCTCCTCGCTCCTGCCTCGCTCTGCCTCGCTCCTCCTCGCATCCTCCTCGCTCCTCCTCTCTCCTCCTCGCTCCTCCTCGCTCCTCCTCCTCCTCCTCCTCCCTCCTCCTCCTGCCTCCTCCTCCTCCTCCTCCTCCCTCCTCCGCCTCCTTCCCTCCTCCTCCTCCTCCTCCTCCTCCTACCTCCTCCTCATCCTACTCCTCCTCCTCGCTCCTCCTCGTCCTCCTCGCTCCTCCTCGCTCCGCCTCCTCGCTCCTCCTCCTCGCTGCCTCCTCCCCTCTCCTCCTCCTCCTCCTCCTCCTCCCTCCTCCTCCCGTCCTCCTCTCCATCCTCCACCCTCCTCCTCCTCCGCCTCCTCCTGCCTCCTCCTCCTCCTCCTCCTCCTACTCTCCTCCTCCTCCTCCTCCTGTCGCGGGGGGGGGCGGCGCGCTCCGACCTCGCCGCTCCCTGTCGGGCCCCCCGGCGCGGTGCCGTGCTGGCCCGTCCGCCCCGCCGGGCCGCGAGCGCCACGACGCCGCAGCCCACGCACGACCATGATGAAGGATGGAGGATGAGGAGGAGGAGGAGGATGAGACAGGGGGAGAAGGAAGAGGAGAGGAGGGACCAGGAGGAGGAGGAAGGAGAAGGGGGAGGAGGAGGATGAGGAGAGGAGGAGGACATTAGGCACATCCACGCACGACCAGGAGGAGAGGATTAGGAGGAGGAGAGGGGAGTAGGAGGAGGACAACTAGAGAGGAGGAGGGGAGAAAGTATATGAGGAGGAGAAGGAGGAGGAGGACCATGGCGCGCTCCGCGCGCCAGGGGGGTCCAGCGCCGATCCGAGAAATCCGCGCGGACCTCCGAGTTTTTATGTTCATGCCACTTTTTGTTCCCCTAGAGGAGGAGGGTCGACCAGGAGGAGGACGAGGAGGAGAGGACAAGGAGAAGGAGGAGGACGAGGAGGAGGAGGAGGACGAGGAGGAGGAGGCGGAGGAGGAGGGTCGCGCATGTGTTTCGTGCGCTCCGGGTCTGCAGCTCCAAAGCCTGGGCGGACTCCATGCCCCGCTGGCCTGGTCGGTCCCAGGTAGGCACGCGCTGCTCACGCGCTCCGGACACCAGTCAGCCAGCTCGTTCGGCCATAACACTCCTAAGTGAAGGGGGGCCTCGGACAGTCGTGTTAATGATACGCTGCGTATCGCACCCCAGCCAAGCCGTAAGTCGGGCCTGCCCCTGAGGAATTTTCAAAAATAGTCAAAAAATACTCTGGGAACGATTTTTTAAACATGTTTGCCCAGTTGGGTGGCATTTTTAAACTATTTTAATTTGTCGCCCAAAATCCCCCAGTAGGGGGGGGACACGCCCGACCTAAGCCAAGCCACCCTTTTATTGTTCT